AGGGTTATTCTTATCTCACGCACAAAAGAAAATAATTTGTTTGACTGCAATGAGAGATAAAAGCGATTCTCTATCAGTGTGTTTTTAATGAATATCATATACAGCGCAGATGTATAAATCAGAGCACAACCTCAGCTTCATGCTCTTCGCTTTGTTTTACTTACCATCAATTCTACTTCACTTTTAAGGTCAGTACAAGACTGGAAAAGACATAAGAAAAGACTGAGTATTGAAGAATACTTCTTAAATCATTAGTTGTTTGTCATTTTAATGGTGTTAGACTTTAGCAAATTTATGAGGCATAAACTAGTTAGCTTTACAATGTCCAAATATTGTTAGTCTTCGAAGACTGCGCGTTTGAAGCCTGTGCTCCCCACTCAATTTACAAACTGCCCCTTCTTCCTTAGGCTATTGATGTAACTGCCTTATCTGCAGTGTCTTGGTCAGGATACAAATACAGTGGGTTCTGCGATGAATTTGCTCTTGGAGATGGTTGTGTACTAGTCAGTCTTTCAGAATTTCCTGCAGAATTCTCCCTCCACCTTGGACTTGCCTGCTCCTGAGACACTTCCCACACAGGTGGGCACGGGGAGGTAAAATTCATGGTGGACTGTGAGAGGTAGTTCTCCTGAAGACCTTCTTCTTGGAGGCACCTGTTTGAAAGCACTTCTTTTTCTTTGGAGTTTCGCCATTTCATCCTTCGATTCTGAAACCAAATTTTCACCTGTTTGCAAGTTAACGAGAGTTTATTATCATTCTTTTCTTTAAACAACTTTGCCCTAACAGGATTTTTGTATTTCTATCCCCTTAGTTTCATGTTCCTTCCTTATTCATTGTTATAGTAGATCCAGTGAAGCTGACTGTTTTGACATTATTGGAGGATTTTCCCATCACTATTTACTACAGCTGGGCCAAATGCCCTCCTTGACTTTCACCACCTCAAAGAGGTGATTGTTTGGCTTAGACTGTAAAAAGGACAGCCCAGTGACTAGGGATAGAGCAACTTCCTAGAGCAACATCCTTCTAGACAGAAAAGGATTCTCAGAGTAAATCAGCGTCGTCATTAACAAAACTAAGTGCTATTACAGGGGATGTGAAGCCCTCTACTTAGAAGAGGCTCTGAGAACTATAACTGTCCCATTCACAAGCATAGCTAAAAACAGCTTGGCCATAGAGCTTCAAAATGTGTGTTACGACATATGACACAGTAGTGAGGATTTACAGACATTTTGTCCGCCTGACTACAGTTTTCCAGGATTTGCCTAGAATCCATGCATTTTTGAGATAAAATCAATTTTTAAAAAACCTGAAGTTGCAAGCTTGATCATGAGCATTCAAAGGCATTTATGAAATGCTGGGAAAAGCTTGGGGAAATACACATCTAGGAACTGGTTTTACATAAAGAGAAGAAATAGTGGGAGGATCAATCAAATTATTCAGATTGTGTTCTATTTTCCCTTAAGTATTTCCATTTAGTTCCAGTATTCAGATACTTGATATGAAGACAAAGGGGCTATGCTTTCAAAGGTTTGAGAATCATTGCCTTAGATGGCCAGTACTGTTCCTCCAGCACAACTGGTCAGAAAACTGAAGAAGTAACCTTCATGGCAGCTGTTCTTCCTTTCATGAATTAAAAACAAAACAAAACAAAACAAAAGACATAGATATCATCTGGTCTATCATTATCATGAAATTATTTTCCTGTAGTGGTAGTTGTCATCTATGTGTCATTCCATTATTTTTTAATCCCCTAGCCCTTCTTGAATATCAAGAACACAGAAGAAAAACTCAAGGAATTAAGTGTAATATTAGGAATTTGACTACTTATTGGGAAATTTTTAGGCAGCGCACTGGTGAGTGCAATTGCACATTTTCATTGAAATAGTTTATCCTGCAGAGATTACAGCTCTGTTCATCACACCGAGAAGCACCACGCTCTGCTTCTTCATTTTGTTTATAGCTGCAGTGCTTGCGATGGAGTCAGAGTCATGCAAGTTGGAAGGAACCACGTCAGACTACAAGATCTAACCTCCTACAGAAAGTGGAGCCAACTGCATTAGATCACATTGCTGCGGGCCTTGTCAAGTTCTGGAAATCTCCAAGATAAAGATGCTGAGAGAGCCCATTGCCATTCCTAGGCTTTTCTGCCCTCCAGACAGCTTCTACCATACTTATCTTAAGCACTTTCACTCCTGCTGCATGCAAAGAAATAAAATTGTACTGTCACTCTCTGTCTGTCAGCTGTACTCTAGAGCTCTGTCTCTCCTCCAGCACCTTCAGAATCCCACCTGCCAGCAGCTACCATGTTCATTTTCTGCTGTCACATGTCCTCACAAACATTTTTTCCAGTTTCTTTCAGGTTTTGTGCTCTTCAAGCCAGGCACTTTTCCTTTGTTTTTATCTGCAGCTAGGTCAGGCCCCTGAGATTCCAGACTGGCCTACGGCCGCTCAGCACCACCATTAATGTACTCGTTCAGTTACAACAGCTCACTGGCGGTCTCAGACTCTCAGCTAAACTCTAAAGCCCTAGGCCAACTCAGACTTAGCTGAAAAATCCCACAAAATGTGAACTGGTAAGTAAAGCAGGAGCATTTTAGAAGGTCACTCTACAAAATTTTTCCTTCTACAGTTTCTCTCAGCTCCAAGGATCTCTTTCTTTGTGCAGCTAAGTTTCTTTCTGTAGGGATGGTCGCCCGTCTCTTGCTGCAGAATGGTTTCAGAGCAAGTGCTGTTGAATGCATTGTCACTAGCTGTTCACCTGCATGTAAAGGGTGCTCAGAGAAATGCAGGAGGGCTCTCTGCTCTGCTGTTTCCTGCCTGGATCACTGCCTATCAGGCAGTGGGATGGAGCACAGTTCCCTCCCAAAAGCTCCTGAGAGGGCTCTGTCAGACAGCAAAATGGGAGTTGGGAATGAAATGCAGTGGTCATGTTTCTCCCACTTTGTGTGAAAATGGGGTGATCAACTTTTGAGTGTACACCTTCAGGAAATAAACCGGGAAGCTGTTCAAGCATTCCTTGGTTAAAGCTGCCATTGACTGACCGAGGTCTTTGCTCAGTGAAGGAGCACAGGGCTGCCCCTGTGCTGTTCAATTTTCCCCCTTCAAAGCCATTTTAAAGATTTTTCCTCAAAAAGACAGAAAGTCACAGATGTTCTGTCCTTCCTTACCTGAGACTCCTTTAGGCCCAGGTTAATGGCCAGTTTCTTTCTGTCTGTTTTACTAATATACTTCTGCTTCTGAAACATTTTCTCCAAAGCTTTCCTCTGGTCTTCAGAAAAGACAGCTCTTCTTAATATACCTCTCCGGGCTTTCGAGTTAGACTCCTGGGTCAGCAGAGGCAGAACACTTTCCTCTCCTAGTGGAAACAGATGAGAGTTTCACATAATATCAAACACGTATCAGAGAAATATTAAGTGCTGTTCATTATAATGCTAGCAGACTACTGTCCCACTTTTGATTTGTTGGTGTTACACGTGTGTCGTAATGCTTCAGTCATGTTCATTAAGGACTAAATCCTCACTTGGATCTAGAGGTGTTGCCAGTGTCAGTGGTCAAGAGTCTCCCCTTGACATGGTAAAAAGTAAATCAGATGATTTCATAGAGGAACATTAACACAGGGCCCATGCTACTGCAAAATTCAAATACAGTCAGGGAGAAACTTCTGCTATTTCCTTTGCCTGTCATGGTCACTGAGTAAACCGCAGTAAGTTTTCCTAGGAGTTTGTCTTCTCTTTGGGTGAAATGTAGAACTAGATAAAAGTGGTCTGTAATACTGATTCAAATAACCTAAATAGGCTTTCTTTAGTTTTGCTTACTAACGAAAGGCTTTCAGAGTGAACTATTTCTCAGAAAATCCCTGGCCATTCACTTACTTATTCTGGAAACCGCAGCAATTTCTTTATTAGAGGATTTGGGGAGTACTTGGACTTACTCCTTTCAGTCTGGTTTCTAATCCTTTGACATCTCATAGCAAGTCCTGGGAGGGCAGTTTTCAATGAATCCACGCCTAGAGGGAACCCTACCCTGGAAAACAGCCTCCAAGTTGGGGGGCAGAGCTGCAGTGGAGAAGTAGAAGTGTTCGCATTGTCCCTTCATCGGCCTCACAGAGAGCACAGAAAACCCCAGTCCTGATCAATCTCTTGCCTTCCTCACACCCAATAAAGCCTAAAGCCATAGTGCTTTCCCATGCTCCCTCGCCCATAGGAGGATGTGGTGTACGGGGAGCAGTCCCTGGTGAGGCTCGGTACGCCTCCAGCACTCCCAGCTTCCCCAAACGTCCGCCCGGGGAACCTTACCAGAGGCTAGGTCTGCACAGGGTCAGCCAGCAAGCGTCCGAGGTGGTAACTGCACAGGGCAGTTGCAGGCAGGCCAGGAAAGAGCTGCACTCTGACTCAGAAACCTGTGCCATGGCTATATAGCCACGGACACCTACGATCTTTCTGCAGGAGGGCAGCCACGAAGGTGGCTTTGGTTTGTATTGCACGCAATTCAGATTAAAGGTGCAAGCTGTGCTCCTGTTGTCCACCTTCCCACCTACCTGGGCCAAGACTGCCGCCCTGGTTTATAGTTACAGCAGTTGCAAAGGTGGGCTGCTGTTCAACTTCTATCAAGGATCTGATCATTTTCACATCAAAGCCAATGGCAAATTCCCCATGTACAGCACATTCTCTAAAACATTGCACATTTCTTCCTGAAAATGTCTATCTATTCTAGTCAGCTGTAATGGGGGGTGGGGGGTTAAATACATTTGTTCAATAGATATAATGCTCTTGAAAATACTAACTAAATCCAGATGCAGCTTCCACAAACTGTTCCTTGGGGCTACACCACATTTCAACTTCTGTATATTATACATATATACACATGGGTGTGTGTATCTTTGGACAACCACAGAGAAACAAACACACATATACTGAGGATATTGTAGAATTGTGTATGTATAATGATGAGAAACTAAAGTGTATATGTGTACGTCTTGCAAAGTTGACTAAATACTTTTGTGGTGCATGTGTGAGTAGTTTGATATCACATACATTACCCCTCCATCCTGCCTCCAGCTGTGACCAGTAGAGGAAGAATATCAGAAGCTGAGCAAGTGTACAATGATCCTTCCCTAAAATACACTGCCACTGTGAAACATTACTGATTTAGGGACCATTGCAATCTGCTAGACATGCCTTTCTTGGAATTTTTCTACACTTTAAGAACTCGTCTTTTTATTTGTCCCTCATAACAGCCTGTGGTAAAAAGTAGTTACTATGATTTAAAATGTTACAGTGCAAGTAAGTCTAAATTTATACAGATGTATTTCAATTTTCAAAATTGATTCTGAGATCAGGTACAAAAATCCTACCCTCCTGGTTACTGTCCTGATATTTATTACACAGTGAGACACATGTCAGACTCAATCCAAACCAAATAAACTATCTGCAGGACAAAAGTCAAACCGCCACAATGGAGGTTTCTGCAAAGGGCAAGCCAGGTTCATATTTCTCTGAGGAGTGCACAGCCCTCTCATGACCCTCACTCCAAGCTCCCATCCTGCCCACAAACCTGGGGGCAAACACTGGCCCTTCTTCCTCAAGCATGTTCTCTCTCCTCCTTGCTCAAATTTGGTGAATTTAGGTACCTTTGTCCAGGTAGCCTCCAAGTAGTTTCTGATGAATCATCAGCCGTTCTCAAGTCTACTGAAGGTACAGACTGACAGCAGAAGAGCTGGTACCTCCTCTCATCCCCACCGCAGGACGGGAGACACCAGCGAGGGAAGAGGCGTAACGGGGCTGGTCCTTGCCTCCTGGCCACCACTGCACAATGGAGTTGTCAGCCAAGGACACAGGATGCCAGATTATGTGACCCCTTAAAATTTGTCTTGCCTGGGTGGTTGTTAACAGTCAATCAGCAAAGAAACAACCTCCTGCCGGCGCCCTGAGGCGCCAGTTAATTCACGTACAGGCAGTATGTAGGGTACAGCTTAACACCTGTATTAGACTAACTTAATAGCGAAGAACCCACACACTCTAAGGCACAGTATGTGACTGATTTTAAAAGATTAACTAAACAAAATTTAATGAGGAGTAGAATGCTCACAAGCATTAGCAAACAGCCACTGGGTCAAAAAATTTGAAACTCGTGTTTGGGATAATGAATGCTCATCCCCCATTGACTTGCCTAGAGAATTTTTTTTAAGAATAACCCATATGCCAAAATGCATTCCGAATGCCCTAACGAAAACTAAATTTCAGTTTGTGGATTAAAGGATTTCTCAGTACGGCTGGATAGGCAGTCGTTCATACATTTCAACAATTTCATCAAAATGAAGTCAGTCAGTTTGCAGCCTGTCGCTCTGCACGTGCATCAAAAGGTTTAGTGTTCTGCTGACATAAATGTGAATCTGTTACCAACTATTTCCTATGTTGCTGGTTTGATTTTTGTTTTGCTTCGGGTTTTTTTAAGTCTTTCCTTTGTATCCTAATATAGAGTGATAAATGTCCTCTTAATCTGTGGAACAATCTTCATTTGCCTTCATGGCAGAGACCACCTTGAAGGAGCAAGTAAAAGCTTTAGTCATGGTTTCCATTTTTTCATTTGAATTCAATACATTCTAGTTAAATGGACAATTAATAGGTCACTTCCAAAACAGTAGTGTATCAGTCCTGGTTAATAAACAATCCCCACAGTTGATAATGGGCCTATGTATTCAGCAAGTCCCTGTATACACTCAGCTCATCCACTAAATCCCCTTTCAGGTAGACAGGGTTATATGGGAAGATGAGCTAGAATGAGTCTATAAAAGTCAGTTTCATTCACTGCTTTATTTTTCAGTCAAGTGCTTTAAATGGTGTCCAGAAAATCTCTTGGAATGTGAGACAGGAGAAAAGACTGGCACATAGAGTATTGCTTTATGGCCATACAAAAGGGCAACTGACCCTTGCCCAGGCCTTTTCAATGTGAAATGGTTCCTAAAGTTCATCTGCACAGTGAAAAATTGTGGTGAGGTCGCGTGTGGATGAGTAAAGTGAAAGTGGTGATTGGTCATGGTGCTGTCAGCCATTGTGGGAGAGCCGGGGCCATGTAAAACGCTCTGTGGGAAAGTGTCAGCCCCCTAAAGAGGTGCTCAGAAACTTGCAGCTCATTAAACTGCCAGCATTTGCTGCCTCACTTGTCAAGAATCATTCAACTTAGCAACTGCCCTTCTGAAACATTCATAAAACGCATGCATGTAGTCAGGAAGGGTTTGAATGCCGCTATGATAAAAAAAAAAGTATATGCTAGCTAAAGCACCCATAAGCTCTCATTTTCATTTGGATCTGACACATGCGATCTGCGCTGCTTCTCTGTTTTGAAGGACGAGGAAATGCTTCTTCTGTGTTCCTAAGCCATAAACATGTAAAATCATGAATATCCATTCTTACACTACGGCATGCAAACTTGCCAATCGAGGTTAAATTTAGATTTGGATTAAAGGGAAGGGTGTTCCAGGTCTTAATCCTGAACACGTAAGTGTATACTGGACAAAATTCTCTTCAATTTCCTTTGCAATTTTTTACATTGTAATTAAAAAAGAAAAACAAATTAAACATGTGCATGCATTTGCTGCAAGAAGAATGCCTGTTTTATTTAAATAATGCCAGGGCTTCCTGAATCATAATTTATCCCTAACAGACATTAAAATGCAGCATCCATTTTAAGATCTTTCAGCTCTTTTCTTATTTGCAAATGTTTATTGACACAGATTTTTAAAAGAGTTACTGATTTTAAAGAATCTTTTCTAGCAAACTGAAAACAAGGAGCTTTCCTAGGTTAGCTCTGTCTGGGTGTCTCAATGCCATTAGAAACCGCTCACAATTGCTCAGTGTACTTAAGTTTGATAAATCTTTGGAAACCCTCTGAATAGGATTGCTGTGATTTTACTAAGGAATTAGCTGCTGCCATTGCATCACCAATTAGTTTTCCAGAACACATTAAATCCTGCTGCTTTGGTTTACAGAATAACTCAAGCATTACTGATGAAGCATAAAAACTTACTTGGAAAAGCAGTGGGGGATGCAGGGTGCTGACAGGACCCACCGCAGCATGCTGAGTAGAATGGCGGGGCTCGGAGAAAAAAGTGTTTGGAAAGAGCTGCAAAGAAAGCATAGATCTAATTGATTATCCATTGAGCTTCGGTGATATTCATAACAACAGTCCTCCAGAAAGTCAGTGTGTAAAGTCCTGCCCCACAAGTTCTTTTGCCTTTTTTCAAGATGGTGATATTTTTAAGGCAAACAATGATAAACCAAGTAATTACTCTTTAATTTAGCAAGGTTATTTTACCTGTGTAGCTTAAGTATAATATGCAAAACCCTCAATATATTTATCATAGAATGAAACTCCGCAGATTTGAAATTTACCTCTGTAATTGCTATAATTATGAGGTTTTTTCCTAAATATCGGGAGTGAACGCATTGTTTCAATAATATATTGTTGAAATAATGAGTATAACGCATCTGAAAAAGTTATTTTAACTAACTCTAGTAAGCATGATATCCTAGCAAAACAGAATTTAAAAGTGAATCCTGTTTCTTCTGCTTGTACTACAATGCCGTTATTAGTACTCAAACCAATGTCTTCAATAAATAAAAAACCTTTATGACTAAATTCTATAAAGTGCAATGAGACATTCCAGCTGAGCTCTGCAGACACAAACTACAGGGCCTGATCCTGCTATCTCGAAGGTAAACTCGCTCTTGCTGGGAAAGTGCTCTAAATTTAAATAAAGCAATTGCTGAAGAAGGTTCTGCTTAATACAATAAAAAAATTGCAACCCAGAGAATTAGGTAATATTTGGTAAAATTTCTGTAGAATTTTTTGAAACAATGAATCAAAAGTCTCTGTTATGTCTAAAAAGTGCTTCCAAATCTTGGAAAGGTCTTTGTCATCTAATAAACCCTTAACTTTTTTCTATAAAGCTTTGGGCTTTTCCATTAATCTTAATTACCTTTTAATTTCTGCTCGTGCTAGTCAACTATGAAACTTGGAATACTTTTTTCTTTTGAAAACAGATACATCATGCTTGCTAGAACTGCACGCTTGTAAAATGTGATCAGCATCAAAACATTCGTGTCACTTTCCTGTTTTGGTTTAGGCAGAAAATAAATGGCTTCAGACCCTGTACTGTAGTCTGTCCAACTCTCTAGAAATAACTTGATTAATTAAAAAAGAAAAAAAAAGAAGTAACTGCACATTTAGATAAAAAAAATTAAGAAATCAATAATCAGGAAGAAAGATAAATAGATAAATGTATCTAAGCTACATTGTTAATTTTTAAAGGTTTTTCAACTGGAATTAAAAATAAAGACCACTCAGAATTAAGTTCCCGAGTAAATATTAGGGCATCATAATAAATCTTCTGACCGTTTAAATCTGCTGACCTTCCAAAGCAATAAACTATTGCTGTAGAAGTCTATCTCTAAACATTTTTAAAATACTTACCTCTATTTATTATCTGAATTCATACAAGTTTAGGTGAAAATTTCTTCAACTATAATTACAAGTTGATAAGCACTGTACTGCTAGAGCTTTTCATTGACACTGTGCTGTTTCTAATGAAACATAAATATACTCCAAGAGGAATTAATTGCCTATATTTGAGGTGTAGGCTTGCAAAACATTTACAAAAAGGAATGATTTACATCAGGCATTCTAAAGCCTCTCTTCCACACAAGACCATGAAATGTGGAACTGTGTCCTAAGGAGCGCAAAGCAGTCAAGAACGTGCAGCCACTATTACCTGTCTTAGGTACCCGAGGGGCTGCAGTGCAACTGCGGGGGTGTACAGGTCGGAAAGGATTTGGCTAGCTGAAGGAGAGCAGGAGAAGGAGAAGGTAAAGACCTGCCAGATCATCTCAGCCATCCTCCTGAACATGAGAACTTGTTCCTGACGGTATCTTTTATCTGCTGCTAACGTTTTATCTGCCGCAGCTCCCAAACTGCCAGGTGAAGAGCTTTTCCTCCCTTCCTGGGGAGCCACATTCCTCGTGCCATTATCAAGTTTCCCCTACAGTCAGGTAAAACTTTCCACTTCTAAAAATACAATTTATTATGCAGAAAGTGCCACACTCAATTCCTTGGCTTTTCACACGTCTCAAATACTCCTCAGCTGCCATAATGCCCTATTCCCTTTAATCATTGCTCCAGCACTTATTCATGCCATACGATTTTTGTCAGATGTGTTGGCCTGTCCTTGATATTCCCTGTTATGGTTTCTTAACTCTCTCCAGTTCCTTGCTCTTTTTTCATAATGCAGTGCTCATAATGGTCTGTGATACAGACAGGAGATGTCTGGATAAATCAGAACTGAATAAGCTATTTCTTCAGATAGATAGCACACTCCTGCAAATAAAGATAGAGGAATAGGAAAGGATAGGTTTTCTTCATTCACCAAATCTCTCAACAAGCAAGCTGCAAGCATAAAGGTCAGGAGATGGATCAGGGTCAAAACTTGAGACATTTTGCTTAAGGAAACTCCAAACAAGCCACATATTTCCATGGATGTTGCCGGCAATGATTTAATGCATTAGCACAGCACTGTGATGCAAACAGTAGAGATCCTGGCACTAATTCTGCTCAAGCTGATGGAAATCATGCTTCTGGCTTTCTTGGGCATTTTACTTAATTCCCTCAACCAGCTGCTTTTTTGCCTGCATGGTGCGTATCACTTTAAGGCAGAACATTTGCTTAAGAAATAAGATGCAGGTGATATCCTCCTGTAACTCTGATCCAAGTGGTTCCTGAGACCACTTCTCACGACTGATTTATTCCAGATCCTGTGGAATAAACAATTGCATTATGTCTCCCTAAGCCTATAGCCAACGCGTATGTCTAGTTTATAAACTTCTTTAATGTCCTTCAACTGCACTGATGCACAGTTAAGATTAAGACTCTACGTTAAGTATATCAAACCGCATCCCCAGGCCAGGTGTACTGAAGCTGTTGCACTCAAACCTATGTGTAGCAGTTACACAGAGTTACATCAGTAAAAAAACCTGGCATAATACAGGGATACTCAACTCTGCCGCGGGAGCTCTACATAGAGAGAAACGTTAACGCTTCAACCGAACACATGCAAGTATATTTTTTATCTTTGATAGAAACAACAGAGAATATTCATCACATTAAGTGGCTTCCACTGTCTGCGTGAAACTGCATTAACAGAACGAAAATTGCTCAGAGAAAAATGATACATTTAATGCATGTGTATTTCAGAATTACACTGTGATTGTACCTGCAGGAATGACACAGTACCTATCAGTGCTGAGGACAATATACAGAAAGCATTGCCTATGCTTTTATTTTCTGTTCACATATACCATGGCCACTCTAGCAGTATTTGTTGGTCAAGTGATCTGAAGCAAACATAGTTTGCTGTTCACGTAAGGCTGAAAATTGCTGACCTGTCAGAATATTAGTGCTGTATTTATTGGCCAGAACGAAGTACGCAGTAACCAAAAGGTAGCTGTTGCTTCCAGCCACGTGGAGGACACATTAACCAGGAGCCAAATCCTAATAATTAGTATTCAGGATACTTAGTTCTTTTTCTGCTTTGCCTTCCCATTTCATAAAAACAGAGATTGTGTGGAACAAACCGTTTCACAGAGTCAGACTTCGCAGGTTTAGCTTCACAGATGCATGAAAATGAAACATCAGAGTATGGTATTAGTGCCTTTTGGCACTCCAAAAATTGTACTATATGCTTTAAAAGAAAATCTATTGGGTCATAAATAACAAAAGAATGAAATATCTAAAATTAAATAAATATTTTTTTTCCACAAAAGTTAAATTCTTTTGACACTGTTGCTGCATCCAAAATTTTAGCAATAATGTTCATATACATTCATCTTTGTGAATAAAAAGCATTTTACAAATAATAAAATGATACTAAACATGCAAATGGACCTCAAGCTCATCTAGTGCTAAAACTCAGATTAGTTCAGATACTGATATTTTAAAATATACTGGCAGCTCTGAAGATATTCCAAATTTAAAAGCCCTCCCATACTAAAAAGTCATGCTGACAGTGGGACCAGAAGTTTTCCTTCCAACTGTCCACCATTTTGAGAGTAGGGCTGCTAAGTACCATTCAGTTCAAATGGATACGTAACTTAAAAATGGCTTATCATTAAAGACACTGTTTGCTTTTCCTAATCCTAGCGTTGTGAAGTGACTCAGGAAATAGCGTAGGCCATTAGCCAGCAGGAAAGGGGGAAGGGGTGAAGGAAAAATGGCTATTGAGGAAAAGCAAACTGGTGGTAAACTTCTGGTGTTACGCATACAGGGCTCCTTCACTGCACAGGCTGTCAGTTTGTTGGGGTTTTTTTAAGCTAACTGATAACAATGTGGTAGAAACCTGTGAAGAGAGCTGAAACACCTCCAAAGAATGATTCAGAAAGCCGCCTGGAGCCATCTAACAAGAAACAGTAAGCACAGGAACAGACAGACCTCAAGCTGCAGGAACACTTTAATTCTCCACATATTGCTAAGCCCACATGGACTGCTTTCCCTAGTCATGCCCAGGCTCCAGCCCTGCCAGGCAAATTAGAAATATTATCAGTAAAATGATCCCATTTCATCTGAGAACCTTGGATGGTTTATGCCCATAAAGTGGGCACAAGTAAACTGCAATTTCCTACCCACATCCATTCTTGGCAATGATTAAAGCAGGCTTCTGCAAAGCTGCAGGAAAGTTTCATGTCACGAAGAGCTCCCTGCAAACAGTCCAGCAGCAGCTCGGTCAGGCCAGTGGCCCAGCTGAGCTCATAGAACCACAAGCCCTGAGCCTCACAACCCTCACAACGAACGGTGGCTCCATCCCCAGCGGTTACGGTGTTTACAGTGCCATGTTCCAGCAGCAGTTGCGCACCCCCAAAGCAGCCAGCTGAAGGGGAGCCCCTGGGCCATGAGAAGGAAGCAACAGCCGCTAACGAATCCCACCAAAGGCAGTCAGCACCACATGGACCTGCCAAAACTTACCGCAAGAGCCTGTGGTACAACATCCCTCAGAGCCGGTTTGCTCGCACCCCCAAAATCTCTTGTCTATTTGCTTCCCATTCATTCCTGTAAAACCCGACCGCGTGAATGCT